TGTGTGTGTGTGTGTGTGTGTGTGTGTATAAAAATCCTCACCCAAGGACATATTTTTATCAATTTTAGAGAGAGAGAAACATCAAGGTCAGAGAGAAACATTGATCAGTTGCCTCCCATAGGTGCCCCAAACCCACCACTTTTTGGTGTACATGACAACACTCCAACCCACTGAGCCATCTGGGGGGGGGGGCAGCCCAAAGCCTTATTTTTAAATGAAGCAAACTAAGTCAATTTTATTTTTTAGTATATTTTATAGATTATGTCACTACAGTTGTCCCATTTCCCCCCACTTCATTCCCCTCCACCCCGCACACTTCCTCCCCCATTCCCCCCCTTTATTTTATATCCATGTGTCTCAAGTTCTTTAGATTGTATATCTCCCATACTATTCTTGCCCTCCCCCTGTCTATTTTCTACCTACCGTCTATGCTACTTATTTTCTGTACCTTCTCCCTCCTTCTCTTCCTCCCACTCCCCTGTTGCTAACCCTCCATGTGATCTTCATTTCTATGGTCTCGCTCCTGATCTAGCTGTCCTCTTAGTTTGCTTTTGTTTTAGGTGTGGTTGTTAATAACTGTGAGTTTACTGTCCTTTCGCTGTTCATATTTTTTATCTTCTTTTTCTTAGATAAGTCCCTTTAACATTTCTTTTTTTTTTTTAAGAATAGAACTTTATATTTTGAGCTGATTTTTTTAAAAGATTTTATTTATTTATTTTTGGAGGGGAAGGACAGGAGAGAGGGAGAGAAACATCAATGTATGGTTGCCTTTTGTGCATCCCCTGCTGGGAACTAGCCTGCAGGGAACCGGCCTGCAACCTAGGCATGTGCCCTGACTGGGAATTGAACCGCGATCCTTTGATTCTCAGGCCCACGCTCAATCCACTGAGCTACACCAGCCAGGGCCCTTTAACATTTCATATAGTAAGGGCTTGGTGATGATGAACTCCTTGAACTTGACCTTATCTGAGAAGTACTTTATCTGCTTTTCCATTCTAAATGAAAGCTTTGCTGGCTAGAGCAATCTTGGATGTAGGTCTTTGGATTTCATGCCTTGAAATACTTCTTTTCAGCCCCTTCTTGCCTGTAAGGTCTCTTTTGAGAAATCAGCTGACAGTCTGATGGGCACTCCTTTGTAGGTGACTGTCCCCTTATCTCTTGCTGCTTCTAGGATTTTCTCCTTCATTTTAATCTTGGCTAATGTACTTCATTTTAATCTTGGCTAATGTAATTATGATGTGCCTTGATGTGTTCCTCCTTGGGTCCATCTTGTTTCATACTCTCTGAGCTTCCTGGATTTCCTGGAAGTCCTTTGCCAGATTGGGGAAATTCTCTCTGGGGGAAATTCTCCTTTGCCAGATTGGGGAAATTCTCCTTTATTATTTGTTCAAATAAGTAAGTTTTCCACTGGTTGCTGTTCCTCTTCCCCTTCTGGTACTCCTATAATTTGGTGGTACTCCTATAATTTGGATGTTGGAATGTTTCAATGTTTCAAGATGTCCTGGAGGTTCATTTTGTTGAATTCTTGTTTCTTTTTTTAAAAAATATTTTATTTATCTTTAGAGGGGAAGGGAAGGAGAAAGGGAGAGAAATATCAATGGTTGCCTCCCATGTGTCCCCTACTGGGAACTAGCCTGCAACACAGGCATGTGCCCTGACTGGGAATCGAACCATGGTTGCTTGGTTCCCAGGCCAGCGCTCCATCCACTGAGCTATGCCAGCCAGGGCTTCTTGTTTCTTCATTCTTTTCTGTTTAGTTGTTTCTTTCTTCCTTCTGGTCCACTCCATTGATTTGAGTCCCAGTTTCCTTTTCATCACTATTGGTTTCCTATGCATTTCCATTCATTTCAATTAGTTTAGCCTTCATTTTTTCCTCTAATTTGTAACTAAAATCAACCAGTTCTGTGAGCATCCTGATCACCAGTGTTTTGAACTGTGCATCTGGTAGGTTGGCTGTCTCTTGGTTGCTTAGAAGTATTGGCTGTGGGGCTTTGAGCTGTTCTTCTTGAGCCATAATGTTTTGGTCTGTTTGCATCTGTTACATATGAGGGCGGAGCCTTAGGTGTTCACCAGGGTAGGGTGACCCAGGTCGCTGGGTTGAGACACTGTATGTGGGGGTGGAGTCAGAGAAGGGCAATGGCATTTGTTCTGCTCTCTCAGACCTCGGTCCCCTCTGCTGCTTCCTGCAAGCAAAACGGGCCCCCTGGTGCTGGCTCCAGGGTGTGTGGGCTTGTGCACCCTCCAGGACCCTGTGGGTCTGTCCAACAAACTCTCTGTGAGTCTGGGAGCTCTTCCAGCACCTCAACCCAGAAAGTTTTTCCAATAGGTGCTTTTAGGCTTTAATACCCATTGCTGGGGCCCTAGCCTGCAAGGTCTGTCTCACTGCTCGCTTCTTCACCTGGTTTATCTACAGGTGAATATGTGACTGCGGTCAGCCAGCTGCCTTGGGCCCTCACTGGGTCCGCCCCTTGCCACCCCACACCTGGGATCTGCCAACAGCCTCCTGCGCACCTGGGCTCCTGGGTCGGTCCTGCCACTACTTCCTGCCCGACCCACTCTGCCAGCTGCTGACTCCACCCCTCTTACCAGTCTGGCTGAAGAGTTCATTGTTGTCGGACTTCCATACACTTCAATTTTCTGTGTTTTGTTTGCGTTTTTGTTACTAAAACTTTGTTGTCTTTAAACTTGGTTGTGAAAGGAGGCACAATGTTTCCACCTATGCCTCCATCTTGGCCAGAAATCCTATTTTTTAAAAAATTTTTTCTGTTTGTCTCCCAGGGAGTTACTTTTGACCTCCAAAAAAATAATAATAAAAGAAAATTCAGGATTTTTACTTCCTATTGAAATACACTTGAAGTCAAGGCATTTGCTTCAGGGTTGAGTTCAGAAGCTGATTCCACAAAAAGTCAACCTCAGATACAGCATCTTCAGTTGCACACAAGTCTGTGCTGTGCCAAAAAAATAGAGGACAGTCCTTGGAGGGTATGTTATCTGAAAGCTAAATGCTTTACCCTTTTCTTTATTTTTGTTGTTTACTTAAATTGCTTTGGTAAAAGATTTATCCGCCAGAGTTCTTCCTGCTGTAAATTTAATAGCCTAGAGATTAAAACCATCAAGCTCGAGGTTAGAGAGGAAAATGCCAACCTTGTTTCTTAATGATTGCAGCCCACCCGAAGACGTTTGAGTACCATCAATAATATGCTTGATGCTTTAACAAGTATATTTAAGAAGCAATTAGGTATGCCAGTCTCAGACTGAAAACAATTTTAAAATAACACAAGCATTAAGTCCCTACTTCTATACAAAGTAGTGATTTTCACTGGCATGATTTAGATTTAGTTTCTGCAAAGTAATTTCCACAACGTGGGGGAGCACGTGCTTGGGAAGGTTCACGCTTCTGAAGGTTTGGGTTTTTTCTTCCCTATTAAAAAACAGAACTGCATATAATTGACTCTAACAGTTTTGAGTAACTACCAAAAAACTTCACCACTATGAAGAATTGATACTTGTTGCTAAGAACTAGAACTTAATATTCATTCATCTTTGACTCTGACTTCTTCAGACACAGGAGGATGGAGGATAGTAGGCAGCAGAATGAAAAAGAGATGTAGGTAAAGAACTTGCCCGAGGAACTTTCTTCTGAGAAGGTATACTTAGGCTGAGATTACACCAAAGGTCACAGATGGGGTCAAACACCACTGAGTTCTCAGTAGCTGTCACTGGGAAGGCTGAGTAGCAGCTCAGTGCTGGATGTTGAACTGGGTGGGAGGACAATGACGACATGATTCACACACACCTGGATGGCTGAGCCTAGTCAGGGCAGTGGGTTGTAAGGCCCAGTGAATAGTATTTCCCATCCCAGGGCTGAGGTGCAGCATATGGCTGATTGAAGACTTGTGTTTGAGGGGAAGGATTTGGCAGAGAATAATACAAGGCAAGAAATTCAATGGCAACAGGAAGGTGCAACCCTGGCATTCTACAGCCAGGTCCTTTGGTCAAGCCAAGACCATGTAAGTACATAAAGGCATCTTGGGACTTTTCAGTTATCTGGAACCAGTGTGTCTGGGCAATCATCAAAGTTGGGGGCTCCACTTGTTTTCTCAAAACTGTCCTGGTAAGATGAACACAACCCCTTTCTCAATTGCCATAATTCAACAGGGGCAAAGTCTGGTTCCCTCACATTCAATGTAGACAGTGTTTCAGGCTCTGAGGTCCACTCTTAAAATGCCCAGATGTCTTTTCCTAGAAAGCCATAGCTGCATAGCTTGTCTTCAACAAAAGCAGGGGCAATAAGGTGAAGGTATTAGCAACACAAGCATCAATCAGAACCACACAAATGGGTTCCAAGTAATGCTTCTGCCATGTACTAGCTGTGTAACTTTGGGCAAGGCAATTTATCTCTCTGAGCCTCATTTGTAAAATGAGGACAAGTAATTTGAGGATTAAATGAGATAAGCCACATTAGGTATTTAGCAGAGTACTTGACACTATGGGCCACCCAGGAATGAATACTGTTGTGATTATCAAAGAGCAAAATGCTACACTGGAAAGAGCTGGAATCTTACATTTGGGCCAGGAAAGGCAAAATGCTCCCAGCATAAGCCGCAGCTATTGTTCCACCTCAACATCATTTTAGGGTTATATTGAGATATAAATAAATAATTGACTAAAATATTGAGCTTTCTGCTTCTGGACATTTTCATTCCCTTTGGCTTCTGCCCATGTCCCAAATATTGCTATTTCTACATTATCTCTCCTTGGAAGCAGTTTGGTATTTACTCTAGAGACGTAGTTATTTTAATACAAGTTCAAACCAAATGTAATGAGTAAAATAAGCTTCTGGGAGAAAAAAATGTATCATGCATTCCAGTGCCAAATATTTTCAAATTATTCATTTGGTTGATGCCTCTTATGCGACAATGAAGAAATAACTGGCTCACTCCAAGACACGGAGCCAGACTCCTCTTGTTCACACACCTTGCTCTGCTTCTGCTGCAAACATGTCTGATAAACCCGATATGGCTGAGATTGAGGAACTTGGTAAGTCAAAACTGACGACAGAAACACAAGAGAAAAATCCACTGCCTTCAAAAGAAAGGACTGAACAGGAGAAGCAAGCAAGCAAATCGTAACAAGGGCCCCCACCGCCAACACACACTGTGCATTCCACAAGTATTGCCTTCTTAATTTTACTTCTTTTAGAGGTTTAAGTTCCTAAGATGCAAGTAGGTTGGATCAGTTTAAATGACTGTGCTTCCCATTTTCACATCAGAAACTACTGACAAGGCCACACCTGCCTCTCCCATCTGCCTCTATGGCTGTCAGGGAAGGAAGAGAACTTGCGTGTTGGTGAAGGAAGAAGGTGGTGGGACAACAATGAAATCTATAGTAAAAACTGAGCTGCTCCAAGGTGTCCTACAGGCTGTAAAATGCAGTGTAATCAGAGTGACATTTTTGTTCGTTAAAACAATTTTAATTATTGGAGTGTGCAATTTTTTAATATCCAAATTAAAAGTTTTAAAACCTGTAGAAAATAAACAAAGAACTGAATGCTGTAGCAGTGTACATATTCAGGAATTAAAATGTGTGTATTGTCCATTCAAATGGAATAACCCACCCCTTGAGGAAAAAGTCCCTATATCTGCCAAACTCATAACTGCTTGAACCTGGGTCATTCCCACTGATCTGTTATTAATTCATGAGTGCTAGTTGTACCAAAATGTGGGTTTTTTTCTCACAGTAAGATGAAACACAACTGGGTCCTTAAAGGAGAGGTAAATTTTGTATGGGAAAATAATGAGAAAGAGAGGAAGAAGATCGGAGCTACAGAGAAAGGGAACAATAGAAGATGGAGGGGGAAGGAGGCTAGAGAGTGGTCAGGCCTCAGGGGGCTCTAAGTCCTAGGTATGCCAACCAGGAAAGGAAGCAAGCCACTCACCACACATCTTTTTACAAGGAGCTGTACCTGGCTCCTGGACAGTGATGAGAAATATCCAGGGCCACACATCAAACTTAAATAAGTGCTAAATACTCAGATCCCACAAAGGGGTTATTTCTCGAATGGCCCCTGAGACTCCAAGTTTTGGGACAGTTCTGTGGTAATTACTGTATTTTTCAGACCATAAGATATACCTAAGTTTTAGAGGAGGAAAATAGGGAAAAAAAACTTTTGAAGCAAAAATGTGGTAAAATATTTAATAACATAAATAACATAGTATTTCACCACTGTAAATGCAAATAGAACTCAACACCAGCATTAACCATTATTCCTCCCAAATTGTGGGGGAGGGTGGTAGGCATCTTATAGTCCGAAAATACATATTCAAGAAGCTAAATACATACTATTTCTCCTCATCCTGAATGCTTTATACTCTTAGACTTTGACCTTTATTTTTGGCTTTCTCTATATCCAGACATCAAGTTTAGGTAAAAGTGAAAGAGAATTTGGAGGCCCTCTAGATTTCAGTATTCCGGGACAAAGCTTCCATTATGCTCTTTCCACTGTATGTTATTTTAATAAATTTAGAAAAATGTGTTTCAACAACAGCGCTGTGGAAACATACCGTACTCTGTCTCAGTGATTTACACACAGGTAGGCAGGACATCTATTTCTAAATGTTCAGTCACATCAATTACCTTAAGCCCCAGACTTTAATTTTGAAGGAAAATTACATTGGATCTAAATAAGTAAAGACAGGCAGAGAAAAATTTTAACAAAACTTCATAATTTGAATCGCAGTTCCTTGAGCCATTAATACTCACTTTCATCAGATGCATGACTACCCAGAGGTTGGTGAATATCAGTTAATAACCTGAACATTCGTGGGGCCTTTGTACCTAACTCAAAGCTGATTATGTTTATTAAAAGTATTATACTCTCATTTGTTTTCCCAAACCTGAATTGCCCATTCTTCCTTTATGTCACTTCTACCCTTTTTCATATTATTTTTCTATAACAATGTTTGCCAAAAATAACCATACCATATGTTTGTATGCTGCACTTTACAGAGAACTTTCACAATTATTACTGAATCTACATTATGTAACTTCAAGTTTAAAATAAATCTTTCATTATAAATCCCTAGAAGATCATGGCAGAATTTATGTAACTTCTTGGTATAGTTCATAATCAATATTTTCTGATAATAGTGCACTTTTAAAAAATAATGATGAAGCTATTTTTAAAACCAAAGCTTCCAAACCATAAGCAAAAGTTTCATTAACTCTGTTCACAATATGAAGTTAAAAGACAATGACTCCTACAATCACATTGAAAAGGATGGTTAATATTAATGAGGAAGATGAATGAACCAGGCCATGGCAGCAGAAAATGTCCAATATCTCCAATTCTATACTTTACATTTGTTAATAAATTTAATTGTTTTGGTGAATAAGTGATCTTTGGGCAAGTCCTTATTAGTTCTGTGAAACCACTGTACTCTGAAATTATTTTAAAATATTTAACTGATCTAACTTGAACTAAGAGGACAAGGCTGAAACACTTTGCAGCAAAATGGAAATTTCACTGAAACTATTCAGTGTGCCCTGAGCTTTGTAGCCTGGAAAGAACAAGAGCACTCTAACCCTGATGCCTGAGTGAGAAAAGCTGTTACATGTTATTTTTACAAACAGCTAACAACTGGGCCAAAGACATGAAATCCCCTATGTACAGATTGGCAATAACTGTCATTTCTTTATTGTATCAACTAATGGATACAAACTATTTCTTAGATGAAATATAATTATTACCTTCATCATTTTTATATTTTATATAATTTTTAAATGGCATTATATTCACATTGTTCAAGGATCAAACAATATATAAAAGCATACAGTGAGTCGTGGCTGGTGTGGCTCAATGGATTGAACACTGCCCTGCAAACCAAAGGGTCACCAGTTCAATTCCGAGTCTGGGCACATGCCTGGGTTGCAGGTTGCAGGCCAGGTCTTCAGTAGGGGGCATGCAAGAGGAAACCACACATTGATGCTTCTCTCCCTATCTTTCTCCCTCCCTTACCCTCTCTCTAAAAATAAACAAAATCTTAAATATCTATATAAATAAATAAAATCTTTCAAAAAAAAAAGTATACAGTGAAAAGTATTACACCACAGTTCCCATGAGTGCTCCAACAGGTAATCAGTTTTAACTTCTTTTAACCCTTTTAGAGTTTTTTAATAAGTCTAGAAGCAAACATGAATACATACTTTTATTTGCTTCTCTTTTTTCCAACAAAAGTTTGCATATTATATAGTCTACTCTGCACTTTTATTTTTTATTTATAATGCAGTTTATCCTGAAAATCTTTCCATATCAATTCTTTTTTTTAACAGATACATCATATTCCATTATATGAATATGCCTTAGTTTTTTTAACCATTTCCCTATGGAACAATGGGAAAAATCCAAAAACCATTTGGATTTTTTCCAATCTTTTGCTCCTACAAGCAATGCTGAGATGAGTAAACATGTTTATTCATTGCAATATTTATTCTAAGGCCATGCTTGTGAATGCTTTACTCATCACTGCCATTTTATACACCATTTCTCTCTAACAATTCAGCATTGCTCAATAGATGCAGCTGCGGGCACATACAAGAGCCAGAAGAAATGGGGACTCTTATGCTGTGATGTACATCTCATGTATCATGTGCTAGATGTAAATCACCATCATCAAGTGCTAGAGTCCTCATTTTCATTCTTTCCTCCATTCAACAAACATTTATTAAGGATCTGTGATGCATCAGGCTCTGTTGTAAGCACTGTAGAAACTGGAGTGAGCATAGGAGGCAAGCCCAAATACTGTGGTACTTAGACTGTAGTAGAGAAATGCAGAAAATTAATAAGTAAATATGTAACAGCATTTTTTCCCTTACAGAAACCAGAGAAGACCAGATACAGCCTAAAGTTCAAAACGCTCCAATGAGTAAATTACCCATCACACCAATAGTTTAGGAAGATCTATAAGCAGTGGCCATTAAACCCCTGGCTTCCCTAGAGCTGAGACTTACACATTCTTAATTATTTGTGGACAAGTTTTATCTTTCTTATATTCAAACTCCAAGATGAAAAAACTTCATTTAATAGAAATGTTGATTCCCAAATAATTAATTTATACAGTATAAATATAATGCAATTCCACTCAAAATCCTGGCAGGATTTATTATAGAACTTGACTGATTTTAAAATTTATCTTGTACTACCTGATATGAAATATACTATAAAGCTACAGTTATTAAAACAGTAAGCTAGTGGTAAAGAAACATAGATTGGTGGGCAAAGATAGGAAGTCTATAAACATGCTAATACATATGAGGAACTTAATATTAAATTGGCTGAAACTGCTTTTTTAGAGGTCAAAATGGCCAAAAGTTGGCAATTGTATATAGTACAGTCAAATATATGATGAGAGTAACATTTTATATAGGTTGAAAAGAGACAAATGATCCAAACAAATTGGCTATCTATTTGGGAGAAGGAAAATTCAGTTAGATCCTTATCTCATACCAACCATAAAAATAAGTTATTTTATCAATCATATTAAAGACATAGATATTACATATATGTAAATATATATCAGTTAAGGTAATTAGTGGCTAGAACAGATAAACCCCCAAATCTCAGAAGCTTAAAACTCATGTAAAAGTCAAAATGTTTCTCACTGAGTAGCTCCTCTCCAAGTGGTGATTCAGATCCAGGCTTCTTCTAAATTATTATTCCACTATCTTTAATACATAGCTTCCCATTTCTCTGTGGAGGTTGTATCCATTACAGTCAACCAAACAGGAAAAGGGCATAAAATATCAGACAGGCAAGTCCTGGAAGATGGCATTTCACTCCTGTCCACATTCTATTGGCCAGTGCTCAACGGCAGGGCCACATCCAGCTGCCAAGAACTCTGGGATATCAAGTCTGGCTATGCACTCAGGAGAAAAAGGAAAAGGGTCCGCTGAACAGCTAACCTATTTCTGCCTCATTTACATATTTTTGTGCAGAAGAAAACTAGGAGGATATATTTGTGAGCTTGTGGCAAGGAAAATTTTTCTCAAGCTAAAAGTGAAAAAATAAAAGATTGGCAAACTTGACTTTATTAAACAGAAAAACCTAACCACAAAAGATGCCATAAGCAAAGTT